AGGAATTTATAGACGCAGGGCAATGAAAGTACAAATTAAATACGTGTAATTCCAACAGGATAACTAGACCAGCTCACAAAAATACTGAAGATACCACGCTTTTGACAAGGGAGAGAGAGCCCAATTAACAAGCTATAACAAAACTCCACCGACGTAACTATGTGAGGGAGAGAGGGAGAGGAAGAGGGAGAACCCAGACTCTGCTGCTCTTATAAAAACTACCAGAGTTTGGCAAGAAGCGACGGAGTGGACCTTTACCAGCAAATTGGACGCGGGAACCACACATTGGCGCGACCTGCTCCATGTCTTTCCGAAGATGTGTACTCCTTTTCCTCCTCCTCCTTCTCTTCTACTTCTTTTTCTTCCTCTTCTTACTCCTCCTCCTCTTTCCCCTCATCCTCCTCCTCCTCTGGCCAGGAAGATTCCCCATGTACTCAGTAATCAAGAAACCATCACAAACACACATTGATCGAAGTAGGGGAGTGCCTCACGCACTCATCAATTGAACCCTTGTACACATTATTGTACACGCATTTACTAATAAGTCTCTCACACACTAATGACTCTCGCACACTCACTAATGAGTCTCTCGTGCACTCATTAAGGGGTTTCTCCTGCACTCACTAATGAGTCTCTCGTACACTCAGACAAAAATGTAACCTTATTCTTCTTTCACTCATCCACTAAGAAGCCTCCGTGTTATATATTCCCTCACAACATGTATAATTATTCTTAATATTATATACACTTGGAGGCGTGTGTGTCTCAGCAATTATACACTTAGAGATTAAAATATCCTTGACTGGTGATGAGCAGGTTACAAGTAGCCTTAATAATGTTTTGTATAGTCGATAGAATTAAACCCCAATTAGGAAACCGTCTGCACGGAATTATGATAGAAGAAGCTATGAGTTGATGCGTGAATTAAAAAAAAATAATGTAAGCCTTTATCATAAGAATGTTTCGCTTTACAAAAAGTTTTTATTGTGTAAATGGGTCTATGAAAGACAAGGTGAACCGTACAATGGACGAGGGAAAAGGGGGAGTGGTTCACTGAGGAGTCTGCGGAGACAAAGGACCTTATCCATGGAAGCAAAGAAGGGAATGTATGAGAGTATAGTGGTATCATTGCTCTTATATGGGTGTGAAGCATGGGTGATGAATGTTGCAACAAGGAGAAGGCTGGAGGCAGAAATGTTGTCGAGTCTGAGAGTAATTAATATGTGGTGTGAATATTGTGCAGAGTATCCACAGCTTGGAGATTAGAAGAAGTGTGGGGTTTCTAAAAGTATTATCCAGGGGGCTTAGGAGTTGTTGAGATGGTTCAGACATTTAGAGAGGATGGAACAAAATAGAATGACTTGGAGGGCATATAAATCTGTAGTGTAAGGAAGGCAGAGAAGGGGTCTTCCTAGGAAAGGTTAGAGGAAGGGGGTAAGGAGGTTTGTGTGCGAGGGGCTTAGACTTCCTCGGATCAAACATCGCTGTTGCCCATTCCTCAGGCACTGCATAATGCTTACACTGTTTAGTTCTTCTCGATGTCACTGATAAGGCTATAAATATTATACTTAGAGAGCGAATCATATCAAATTTCAATTCACAAAACATAGGACAGTCCACGGTCTTGAAACAGCTACATCGTATCCCCTCCCCTTATAAGTGGAGTTAAAAATTTCCGAGAGACTTTTATATTATAAAACCTTTTTTTATTGCAAAATACTCTTTCAGACTAAAGATTCACATTAATTGGTAAGGCAAGAAATAACAGTAATAAAGAAACCAAAACTATGAGATTGCGGACATAAAAAAAAATCTTCTGAGATTATTTTCCATCTCATAATTAAATTTTTGCTCTGACTATCTGTGTTTACATTTTGAATAAAGTCAGTTTTTTCTGTATCAGTTTTTTTTTTTTTTTTTGCATTTTGATTTGCTTCATATTTTATCAAGCCTTCTTGCTCCTCTCATTGGCCTCTCTGTATTCTTCGTTCATTTCCAGCATGCTTAGTACAAATCTTTCCTTTCCCTTGTGGCACTTTCACTCTATTACCTCCATCATTTCTTTTACAGTTCTGCCTTCCAGTTATCTTCCCCATTCCTCTTCGCTCAGAAAATATCTCATTCCGTCATAGTCCTTTCTTCTATAGTCCCATTATCTGGTGTTTTCTCCTCCTCCTCTCCATTTTCTGCTCCACCAAGTACCACGGTGTCCCTTGGCTCGGTTGGCAACGTGTGCGCCTCACACCCTAAAGGTTAGTGTTCAGTTTCCAGCATGAGCGGGAACGTTTCCTTACACCTGTTGTCCCTGTTCACCTAGCAGTAAGTAGATACCTGAGTATAAGTCGACTCGTGTGGATCGTATCCTGGGGACAAGACTGAAAGAGCACAATGGAAATAAGACAGACAGTCCTCCTTGACGCACTGACTTTCTTGGGTTATCTTGAGTAGTTAACCCTTCGGGTTAAAAATCCGAACAAATCTCATCGCTGGCTCCTACTGATCCACCAAAAATTATTTATGTTATATCGTATTAAGTGTGCGTATACCAAGGGTAGAATACTTAAGACACCCTATTTGATAACTCATTTTCTATGATTAACAGCAACAGAAAACGAAGCATTAAAGGTAAACTACTGGTTTTAAGAGACAGTAACATTTATTGGAAGAAAAAGATTTTATTTGGATTATTAACCCTGATGGTTAGTAATCCAGCGTGACGACATAAAGTCAGGATGTCATTTGACTGATGATCCGTTTCCACTGGAGTCTAATCCTCTTCCTCATGATGCGACCCACAAAAGCAGATTTAAGTTTTGCCGCCGAAGCCTTAGTTTTGACGTTACCGTCCACAGGAGGGAAGCATAGGAGTACTATATGGATACGCAAAAGCCTAAAAACTAGGCTCCAGAAGGGTACATCTGAATTATTATCAACAGCTTACTTGTCTGCAGTAAACAGATTTTGGATATTTGTTTAATATGTCTGGTATCTTATTTTCACTGATAAGATGCCTTAACATATCACATGGGTTACACTTTATTATACTATCTCTGTATTCTTCAGTAAATGAACGGTTAAGCACACATTGTTCAAGAAAGGGACCATAAGGCTAACCACATACTTTACATTTAGTTTAAGCCTCATTTATGTGTCTGCCAAACTGCCAGAAATACTTGTAACCAAGCCTAAGCCTGGCCACTGCAACATCAGTCAGTCCGTTCACATTGCAAATTGCTCTATGAACGTTCCTATCTACGTTCATGTTATAGTGAGCGATAGATCTACTCAGGCTTCTAACTGCATTCCTATGACATTCACTTTCATTATTTGCTTCTCTCCTAATATTATTCCTAATGCTAGATAAAGACACCAAAGTCATATTCTGCATTTGCCTCCAGGGTACTTTCTTTGGTTAAATTGTCAAGTTTATGATGGAGTAATTCAATGTGTGATGGAATCCATAAAAAATGTACATTAATTCCCCTGACTTTTTAGTAAAGTATATATCTGGCTTCTTCAATGAGCATGATGTTAGTCCTTATGAGAGTCAAAATTGACATATTTGTTTTCATGTGATACTTTGTGAATGCCGCATCCGATCGATTTGAAGCCTTTAACGCCGATAACTTGATAATATAATGTCCGAGCGTCTTCAAACTTAAAGTGCTATGATATTAAATATTCGTGTCTGTGCAACAACTACAGAGTGTTTCTTCTGATTGGCTTCAACATTAGCAATGAAATGTTTTGCCATATCATGTAGGGTTTGCATGGAGGTGTCTCTGAAAGGTTGGATGTTTGGACACGAAGATAGTGTTCCATTGCATGGCCCTGTCCCGCTTGTCGACCTTTTCTGGATGCTGGACTTGCCCCTCTGTCTTGATATCCTTTCCAGCTGGATACTAAAGCCTGATAAATTGTGCAGTATTTCATGAAGCACTAAACCTTCTGGATCATTCAGTGCAATGAGTGGTGACAGTTTAGTCATCCGTGCACCAAGGTGGTCAGGTCTTTGACCAGTCAGCTGTTGATCATCACTTTCTAATATCTGATAAAGACCTAATCTGACGTGTGTAATCCTGTTTTTTTTTTTTTTTTTTTTTTTTTTTAGCTACCACTCACAGAATCAGCATGGAAGAAACAATGTATTAGTCTCTCACTTGCAGGTACACATAAGTAAGATAAGGGATAGGATTTTGTTCGGATTTTTAACCCTGGAGGGTTAGTCACCCAGGATAACCCAAGAAAGTCAGTGCACCATTGAGGACTGTCTTATTTCCATTGGGGTCCTTAAATCTTGTCCCTCAGGATGCGACCCAAACCAGTCGACTAACACCCAGGTACCTACTTGCTTGCTAGGTGAACGGAGACAACAGGTAAGGAAACACTCCCAATTTTTCTCCCTTACCAGGGATCGAACCACGGATACAAAATGTGTGAAGCGAGAGTGTTGCCTACATAATGTAATCTACCTGGGATAACTCTAAGATACCCCACAAGGTATAGTTACATCTTTTGGATATTACAGTCATCTCATATGCTAAAATTTCATTATATAGTTAATTATCTACTTAATACAATATGTGGATATAATCTTATTGGTCTGTGTTGTGAAATGTCCCCCTGATTGGAGGTGCCGGTAAAGGGCTTTTGATCTAGGGAAGTAGACCTCTCCTTCTCTTCCTTGGATCGAGCTTGATTGCCTCGCATTCCTCCACGTGTATGACGCTTAGGGATTTAGCCCTTAATCCTGATTATAATCATTATAATGTGATGTGGCGCCTGTCACGGCCGTCTGAAGGGTTCACACGGCTCTACGACCGTGTAAACCTTCCACCCAACAAAAAAATTTAGCAGTCCTGCACTAAGCCTGTTCGCCTATTTTTATTTCGCTCTCATAAAAATATATATTATTTTTGGATAGGTTTCTTACTCTTGGATTAGTTGGCAAGCGTATAGCAAGTCAATATTATCGAGATAAAATATCACGTTTGTGTTTCCAGCCCCACCAATCATAAGCTTAAGATGAGAGTCAGTGTGTGCATGGTGAGTTGTGATTGGTTGTTGGAGGCAGTTATGTTGAGTTTCAGCAGTTGCTGTTCTTCTCAACACAGTTGGCTGAGTGGACACACGTTGCTGCAATACACCCTCTTCAAGTAAGTTTTTTGCGCTAATTATTGGTAAAATTTTATATTTTGTGTGCGTCATTAACATTATGAAAAGACGCAGAAACAGGAGCCAGGCAAAAAAATTTACATAAATGGGAAAATTTATGTTAAAATGCCGGAAAAAGTTTGATTCGTATACAAACTCTGCATTGGATTATTTTTGTCAAAACTTCCCTTAATGCTCGTAAAGTGTTCTTCATTAGAGAATTTGGAACGGCCCATTTCCTCGGATCAAACGTGATTGTCTCCCAGTCCCGAGGCACTGTATGATCCCTAGGGATTTAACACTTGCCAATGAATATTGTGAAGTACAAGATCACATACTCCAGTAATGAAATATTGACACGAGAATGGAAATGCAGAAGGCCTACTGGCCCATGCTAGGCTGGTCCACCTCACCCACCCACACCCGCCTATGTACCCTAAGTTCTCGCCTCAAACTACCTGGTAATTTGTTCCACTCATGCACAACTCTTGCCAAACCAAGGATCCCAGTGGAAATAAGTCACTGACTTCTTTATTTTTTGTAGTTATCCTAGGTAACCTACACATATACTGCTGTACTCACCTAATTGTGGTTGCAGGGGTCGAGACTCAGCTCCTGGCCCCGCCAGTTAATGTACCCGTATTTACGTGTACCTGTACCTGAATAAACTTACTTCCCTATATCCTTTTTAAATCTAAATTTGTCCAACTTGAATCCATTGCTGCGAGTCCTGTCTTGGTTAGATATTTTCAGTATCTTATTTATGTATCTGTTCATGCTTAACCATTTATACACGTCAGTCATGTCCCTCTTGAAATATATTACACATTTTTGCATATTTCCCTTAATCATCATTATTAAAGTGTATTCAATTAGAGAAACATTTATTACTCTAATTATATATGATAATCCATTTTATATAATGCAAGACCATTATATTTGCATCACTAATTGATGAATGTCAACATGTATAAAACATTTCATGTGTTTACAGTGAAGGTGATGCAATTATTGTCTCAACCTGTTTGTTAAATCTATTATAATTTTATTTAACATGCTCCTACTATTTAAAATTTATACAAAGGGAACAAAAGGTCATACAGGACATTGCAAAAACCCAAAATATTTTTATTCCTACACAAAATCCAAGCTAAGAACTACCTGTAGAATTGGACCACTACTGAGAGGAGACTCGTATACTGACGACGAACAGGAAATGAGTGAAATCCTAAAAGAACAGTATGAGTCGGTGTTCAGCAACCCACTAAATAACAGTAAGGTAGAAAATGCAGAAATATTTTTCACTCCAGAAGAAGTCCACGCAGACCAACTAACTGACATTAGTACAAATCCCATAGATTTCGAAAAAGAAATGGAAAATATGCCCACTCACTCAGCACCTGCACCAGATTCATGGAATGCTCTCTTTATAAAAAAATGCAAAGTACCACTAGCACGAGCCCTCAGTATTCTTTGGAGAAAGAGCTTAGATCTAGGTGAAATACCGGAGGCCTTAAAGAGTGCAGACATAGCTCCTTTGCATAAGGGAGGTAGTAGAGCACTAGCTAAAAATTACAGACCAGTAGCCCTAACCTCTCACATCATAAAAATCTTCGAAAGAGTGATGAGACGGCAGGTTACAAATTTCATGGAGCAGCACAACCAACATAACCCGAACCAGCATGGTTTTAGAGCAGGACGATCGTGTCTGTCACAGCTGCTGAACCATTATGACAGAATTACGGAGGCATTGGAAGACTACCAAAACGCAGATTTGATTTACACAGATTTTGCAAAGGCGTTTGATGGATCATGGAGTGATAGCACACAAAACGAAGGCCATGGGCATTACGGGGAAAGTAGGCAGATGGATTTTCGGTTATAAAACACACACAACACAAAAAGTAGTAGTGAACAGGGCAAGATCCAGCATCAGCGAGGTCAAAAACTCAATGCCCCAAGGCACTGTCCTGGCACCTCTGCTGTTCCTCATCGTCATAGCAGATATAGACAAAAACACCCGGCACACTTTTGTATCATCATTTGCATATGACACTAAAATAAGCATGAAAGTCAGTACGGTAGTGGACACTGAAAAAGTACAGGAAGACATAAACAGAGTTTTCCAGTGGGCAGTGGAAAACGACATGACATTCAATGGTGATGAAGTTCCAGCTGCTTAGATATGGAAAGAGTGAAGAACTCAAAAGGAGCACTATATACAAAACTCAAGAGGGTCACAAAATAGAACATAAGGAACACGTAAAAGACCTAGGAATAATTATGTCAGCCGACCTTTCTTTTAAAGACCATAACAAGACAAAGATCACGACAGCCAGGAAGATGACTGGGTGGGTATTGAGAACTTTCAGAACAAGGGAAATAATGCCAGTGGTGACACTCTTCAAATTGCTAGTGCTCCCTCACCTAGAATATTGCTCAGTGCTGACGGCCCCATTCAGGGCAGGAGAAATATCGGAGCTGGAACAAATACAGAGATCATTTACGGCTCACATTGAGCCAGTAAAGTACCTAAACTACTGGGAACGTCTGCAAGTCTTGAACATGTACTCACTGGAGTGGAGGAGAGAGAGGTACATGATAATATATACCTGGAAGGTACTCGAGGGCTTGGTCCCAAATCTGCACACTGCCTTAACAACATACTGGAGTGAGAGATATGAGAGGAAGTGTAAAATAAAACCAGTGAGGAGCAGGGGTGCAGTGGGGACAATAAGGGAACACTATATCAACATCCAGGGTCCCAGACTTTTCAACATCTTACCAGAAGATATCAGAAACACTGCTGGGACAAATGTTGAAGCCTTCAAGAGGAAACTAGACAAGTATCTTCACCAGGTGCCAGATCAACCAGGCTGTGATGGATATGTGGGGCAGCGGGCCTCCAGCAGCAACAGCCTGGTTGACCAGGCAAGCACCAGACTAGCCTGGCCCATGGCCGGGCTCAGAGAGTAGATATACTCTCGAAATTCTTCAAAGGTATCAAAGCTATGTTCATTCTTATTTAATTTATGTTTCATGAGAGTATAGTTTTACCAACACTCTTATATGGGTGTGAAGCATGGGTGATGAATGTTGCAGCGAGGAGAAGGCTAGAGGCAGTGGAGATGTCATGTCTGAGGGCAATGTGTGGTGTGAATATAATGCAGAGAATTCGTAGTTTGGAAGTTAGGAGGAGGTGTGGGATTACCAAAACTGTTGTCCAGAGGGCTGAGGAAGGGTTGTTGAGGTGGTTCGGACATGTAGAGAGAATGGAGCGAAACAGAATGACTTAAAGATTGTATCAGTCTGTAGTGGAAGGAAGGCGGGGTAGGGGTCGGCCTAGGAAAGGTTGGAGGGAGGGGGTAAAGGAGGTTTTGTGTGCGAGGGGCTTTGACTTCTAGCAGGCGTGCATGAGCGTGTTTGATAGGAGTGAATGGAGACGAATGGTTTTTAATACTTGATGTGCTGTTGGAGTGTGAGCAAAGTAACATTTATGAAGGGGTTCAGGGAAACCGGCAGGCTGGACTTGAGTCCTGGAGATGGGAAGTACAGTGCCTGCACTCTGAAGGAGGGGTGTTAATGTTGCAATTTAAAAACTGTAGTGTAAAGCACCCTTCTGGCAAGACAGTGATGGAGTGAATGATGGTGAAAGCTTTTCTTTTTCGGGCCACCCTGCCTTGGTGGGAATCGGCCAGTGTGATAATAAAAAAAAAAAAAACATCATGAAACCATATCACTGAGATACTGTATTTGTATGGGTATATTAATGCTGACAGATTGTAGGAATAAGACATGAACAGTCGAGACATTTATTGAAGGAAATGTTTTGCCATTTGTCTTTTTCAAGCTTAATATAGAGATAGCAAAAAATAATTAGCTCTGGAAGTGATCATGCAAGACTAAGGACAGGTCACTCATCAGAAAAGAGTGGGTGGGGCTTGAGATAGAGAAGAATCTGCCTGTCAACATTATACACTTACTGCAACATAACTACTATCCATAACATAGGAAATTGCTATTATCGACATATCAGCCATAATAACGACAATTAGAGATTTCAGTGGTTGTAGACTGCTGGTTGCAGCATCACCAGCAACCACCACCACCACCAGTGTTCACCCAGACCACATCCTGTATTTGTATGTCATACATAGTTTAAGGGTGAAGCTGAGAAAAATTAAAAATTATGTTCATTCACATCCAGTAATTGTTGCATGTGATGAGCTAGTGAGAGATTTATATAATTCTTTTTTTCAGGATGCGCCACGTTGCTGCCTACCTTCTAGCTGCCATGGGCACTAATCAGCCCACAGCAAATACCATAAAATCTATCCTTGAAAGTGTTGGTGTAGAGCCCGACGACAAACAACTAGCAGTGCTCATGAAGAAGATGGAAGGAAAGAATCTTAACCAACTGATTGCTACAGGTAACCAAATACAGTAGTTTTTATTGTACTTATAGCAATATAAAGCTTTTAATATGCAGTGCTAATATACTGTATACATTATATCAACCTTATTGTATATTTTATGGGGGGGGTCTAGTTTGTCAAGAGAAAATAGAATACAGTGGTCCCTCAATAATCATCCGGCCTGAAAGTCGTCCATTTCGTCCATTTTCGTCGTTATTTCGTCTAAAGATTGGCTCGCAAATGGTCCGTTAACTCACTAATCTTCTTTCGTCCTGGACGCGTACTCACGCTCTGAGCCACCTCGGCCTCCCTTCCCAGCCAGTGTGCCATTGTTTACAAGTGAGCGACGGTCCCCTCACGTGTTCATACGAAGTATTTCATAATATTCCATTCATTTTAGTGCTTGCAAGTGCTAAATAAGCTACCATGGCTCCAAAGAAAGCTCAGAAATATGATTGAATTTAAGAAAAACATCATTGAACAATATGAAAGTAGCATATGTGTGGGCGAGCTGGCCAGGATGTATAACAAATCCTGTACAACCATATCTTCCATCATAGCCAAGAAAAAGGAAATCAAGGAAGCTGTTGTTGCAAAGGGGGTAAATATGCTGACAAAAATGAGATCACCAGTACTCGAAGATGTTGAGAAGTTATTATTGGTGTGGATTAACAAGAAACAATTAGCAGGAGAAAAGGCTAGGCAGTTGCATGATGATTTGTTAAAGAAATTGCCTGCAACTAGTGGTGATGTGAGTGAATTTAAGGCCAGCAAAGGTTGGTTTGAGAGATTTAAGAAGCGTACTGGCATACACAGTGTGATAAGGCATGGTGACGCTGCCAGTTCGGACCAAAAAGCGGCTGAAAAATATGTGCATGAATTCAAGGAGTAAGAACATAAGAAAAAAGGAACACTGCAACAGGCCTACTGACCCAAGCGGAGCAGGTCTATGTTTCCCCCCCGGATTAGACCAATGACCCACTGAAACAAGTGTTCATTTGTGACGAAACAGGCCTCTTTTGGAAGAAAATGCCGAAGAGGACCTACATTACTTAGGAAGAAAAGGCACTGCCAGGACACAAGCCTATGAAAGACAGGCTGACACTCATGTTCTGTGCTAATGCTAGTGGGGATTTCAAAGTGAAGCCGTTATTAGTGTACCATTCTGAAAATCCCAGAGTGTTCAGGAAAAACAGTGTTATAAAGAGTAAATTGTGTGTTTTTTTGGAGATCTAATAATAAGGCATGGGTCACGAGGGACATTTTCCTCAAGTGGTTCAATGAAGTGTTTGGCCCTAGTGTGAAGAATTACCTCCTGGAAAAGAAATTGGATCTCAAGTGCCTCCTAGTAATGGACAATGCACCTGCTCATCCTCCAAACTTGAATGACCTAATTCTGAAGGAGTTTGGGTTCATCACAGTAAAGTTCTTGCCCCCGAATACTACTCCTCTCCTCCAGCCCATGGACCAGCAGGTCATTTCAAACATTAAAAAACTCTACACCAAAGCAATGTTTGAAAGGTGCTTTAATGTGACCTCAGACACTCACTTGACCCTAAGAGATTTTTAGAAAGAACACTTCAGTATTCTCCATTGCATAAGCCTTATAGGTAAGGCTTGGGAGGGAGTGACTACCAGGACTTTGAACTCTGCTTGGAGAAAATTGTGGCCAGATTGTGTCCACAAGAGGGATTTTGAAGGGTTTGAGGCAGCCCCTGATGAGCCTGTGTCAGTTGTGAACTCTATTGTGGCACTGGGGAGTTCCATGAGGTTGGATGTGAGTTTGGAGGATGTGGAAGAGTTGGTGGAGGACCACAACAAAGAGCTAACCACTGAGGAGCTGCAAGAGCTTCAGCAGGAGGAGCAATAGATCGCAGCTCAGAATCTTGCTGCAGAGGAGGAGGAAGAGAGATGGAAGAAGGTGCCTTCTTCAGAAATTAAGGAGATTTTTGAAATGTGGGGTAGGATGGAAAGATTTATGGAGAAACATCACCCTGAGAAGGATGTTGCAAGCCATATCGGCAACTTGTACAGAGACAGAGTCTTGGCCCATTTTAGGGAAGTTTTAAAGAGATGCCAGAAACAGATCTCTCTGCACAGTTTTTTTGCAAGACAGGACTCCAGTGACTCAAGCTGGTCCTAGTGGCATTAAGAAACAGAGAAGAGAAATAACCTCAGAAAAGCACTTGGTACCTGAGGTGTTGATGGAAGGGGATTCCCCTTCCAAACAGTAATTCAACGTGTCTCCTCCTCCAGTCTTCCATACACTAAGAAGAATTGCCAATAAAGATAAGTGTTATGCTGTTAATGTTTCGTTCATCATGTGCCATTGTATTGTTTATTTACTTCATCTATATTTCATGTAAAAAAAATCTTTGTTTTACTACTTCTGGGTGTCAGGAACGGATTAATTGTATTTACGTTATTTCTTACGGGGAAAATTGATTCGAAAATCGTCTATTTCGATAATAGTCCCACTTCCAGGAACGGATTATGGACGATAATTGAGGGACCACTGTATAATATTCACAGTACACATCTCTATTGCCATCTCCTCGCTGCAACATTTATAAAACCCATGCTTCACACCCATGTAAGAGTGTTGGTACCACTATACTTTGATACATTTCACATCTGTGTAGTAAAGATGCAGTTGAAGATATTTAACTTATTGTGATAATCCAACATTAAGTGTTACACTGCTTAGCTAGCATCATTACACAATGGAAAATCATCCACAGTAGCATCTTAGTTATTTCATAAACTGGTTGTAAAACAATCATTGAGAATTCTAGACAAGATATCACCAACATATTCTCTCATGAGCTACTTCACTAAACCTTGGCCACAGCTACTATAACTTGCAGATTTGCTACACTGTTCATTTTTTTATCTTCATAAACTTGAATCCATTCTTGTATCCTTTGAGAATAGGAAGAGATACTTCGGTGTGAATCTGCACCACATTGTGTAGCCTCTTGTGATTAATAATCCAATTCTACAAGTGGTTCTTATGTTGGCATTTTCATGTGTTGATTTTTTTTCAATATCCTTGAAGGCTTTTTATTACCTTTGTTTCCATCTGGCACAAATGCTTAAAATTCTGTCATTGATATCTCTCTGCAAAGATTATATTTCATTCATTGTGACATTTGTTTTTAAGGAGTTTGGTAACCCTTTTCTATACGTTCTTCTATGTTCTCTCTCTATATTAATATGCTTTTAGGTTTTCTCAGTGGTACCAATGATCATCGGTTAACACAGTACACCTACCATCCAACTTACGACCTGCTCGACATACATCCACTCGACTTACGACCATGCATCTGGCAGCTGGGCTGGGCCGGCTGATGCATTCCACTGTACAATATTTGATGATGTAAAGTAAAAGGACACAGGTGCAACTAATGTGACATTTTATTGTGGCAATGTTTTGCTCTCCAGGAGCTTTGTTAATTGTTCTACCATATTGTATTACTACTACAACTTATATCACTACTACTACTACTACTACTACCACTAGTATTGCACCTCACTATATATACCCTCTGTGTCCATGTACTGTTTGTAACGGCTTGACAAAGCTCCTGGAGAGTGAAACATTGCCACAATAACATGTCACATTAGTTGCACTTGTGTCCTTTTACTTTACATATTGTCGGTAATTCTACCAACATCATTACAATATTTGATGATACTCATGGCGGCAATGCGCCATGCAGGCAGCATCAGTTCGAGTTACCCTGCCCTATCAGCAGCATCATACTGTATTAACTGTACTAACTGGACAGTAAATTTCACCATGGCCCCTATGAGGAAGTCTGAATCTTGCACTGGAGATTGTGGCAAGAAGGCAAGAAAGGCTGTTACTCTCAAACTCTCTCTATTTGTTTTCACTGTTGCACATAAACCTGTCTGTATCTGTCTGCCTGTATATCTGTCTGTATATGTCTGTCTGTCTGCCATCATTTATAAAAGGATTTGTTTGGTGTTCTGGTAGCGGGGAGTAAATGATACATCTTCGGAGGCTTCTTACTTTATTGTTAAGTCGTGGTGGGTACACAGGCTTGTGTGTTGTGCCCATGGCCCAGGCAGGGCCATCCCACGAGAGAGAGCTAGGAGTAGGCCTTGTGTCTTCCTGCTAGGCCGCTGTGTGAGTGAGAGCGTGGCAAGGGCCGGCAGGCTGGCGTGCCCACCGAGAGGCCTGGCTACAGAGGGCAACACTTGAGTGGCGCGAAATAGGAACTAAGCTGGCAGACAGCATAGGCTGTCTGTGCAGACAGTACAGGCTGTCTACATAAGTCTTTCTGTGTGTCTGTCTTTGTCTTCCTGTGTGTCTATCTTTCTATCTACCAGTGTGTCTTTCTGTCTGCTTGTCTCTCTGTCTGCTTGTCTCTCTGTCTTAGAGCCGCTCATGAACCACAGGTATTACACACGAAGCAGAGTCGTCACATCTTCAATATGATGCTAATATCGCTCTACGGCTTATTTATCTATCACAGTTCATATAATATGACATAGTAAACAATATAAATAACATAAAAACCTGGTATACGCTCTAGAATGAGTAAATTATGAACTTAACTGCTTTAAACTCCACATCTTGTGCCTGTGCTGGCATGTGGGTACACATTAAAATCACTAAAAGTGTGTTATTGGTCTTGAAGATGCCATATTAATAATGATAATCACAATAATAATCACTGAGGTGCATTAAATGTGTATAAAATGTTCATATAGACATTTTGCTTCATCCATGATTTTTTTTTTTTTCAAAATTATATAAGAAACACACTACATAACATTTTATTATTATTATTAACACATCGGCCGATTCCCACCAAGGCAGGGTGACCCGAAAAAGAAAAACTTTCATCATCATTCACTCCATCACTGTCTTGCCAGAGGGGTGCTTTACACTACAGTTATAAAACTGCAACATTAGCACCCCTCCTTCAGAGTGCAGACACTGCACTTCCAATCTCCAGGACTCAAGCCCGGCCTGCCAGTTTCCC